ATCTGAGCCAACAGCGTTTCCAGTCATTCTCTCGGTGGGAGGGCGCAGACGAGCAAAAAATGAGAATGGCTCAACTCTGCTGTCACTACAGTTCCTTTCACCACCTTATATTTATAGCGGGGCAATTGATGTCGTTGACAACAGCAGGGGCGGTGTCAAGGAGCATGGAATGAGTCCATCTGCAAAGTTTTCTACCGCTGGTTTTTTCTTGAGCCGATGCTAACCGATCGCTATTGGTAAAAAGGCAGCCGGGGCGGGCTCATTCCGCCCCTCCCGACACCGCTCGACTTTGCCGCGATAACTACGAGTCAAGTTACCCACGTTTTCTGAACCATTTAGAGAACTTCATGCTCTAGACTTCTGTATTACTTAGGTAAAACTTAAAAATAGTTGATTTGGAAATCATTAGCTATGCTCATGGATCAATAAGATCGATTTCTCGTTTAGGCCGAAGGCTCAGGATCATTATCGATCGTCTCACTACAATCCACAAAATCCGACGATAAAACGCCTGACGTTCTGCCGCACACTTCATTCGGCACACGACAACTCGTCCCATTAGCACCTTTGATAGCATTATTACTGTACTTGACACGAAGATTCTCCTAATACTCCATGCGAGTAGTCGATTTATCGATGGGATCTCTAGTCAGGAACAGTGTGATATACGGGTACATTTGAAATACTGGTCTGTATATATTCCTTTATTGTTAGGCTTTAATCAATTTTTTCACACAAAATTTGTTACGATTTAACGTACAAATAAATTTCTACTGATATCGTTCTCAAGCACTCCATTCCAAACACAGCACGCACAACCCCCTCCCCCCTAAAATTTCCTCTGCTACAATATCCATACCCCATCCCCTATCAGACCCACGACTGCCTGAGTTTCCCACCTTCTCACCATTTTTCCGGAGTTTTTCAGGAATTTTTTCACTTTTTCTTCCAGAAAACTATCATCTAGCGGAAGGGGAGGAGGGGAGGGTTATAACGCTCGTGAAGTCTACAATCGGAAACTCGAATTCAGTTCCGAACGACGCTGCGGCCTCTGTCCGTGACCGAATACGATCCTCCCTCTAGCTGAGAATCCCTAACGCACGACGTGCTCTGATTCCGAAGCGCTAAGGCATTCTGGGGGAGTATGTCGCGGCGCTACTGGGCGCTCCTACCCCAAAATAGCAATCCTTCCCTTTCAGAGTACTAGGGATAGATGAAATGACGGCGCCTACAGGATCCGGAGAATCCTTCTCCAGTACAACCCTTCCAAAGTTGCTCTTGCAGTACGACCCCCTTCATAACCCATTGCTGTCCCTCACCCCCCCCCAATCTCTTCCCCAACCTCACACAATGACCACGAACCAGCGCAAACTCGTCCCGCAGTGGGTAGACGCTCCCCTCCCCGATGTCACGCCTGAAAACGTCTAGTCCCCCTCCTCTCTCCCTCCTCGCCCCCCCCCCCGCGCTACCCCCCGATGGCACATCAGCCCGCGCACACCCCTCCTCCCCCCGTGGCACCGAAGCCGCAGGCTAATGCAAATCAAGAAATCCGCCGCCGCGGACATAGCCAGATGCGATTTTCGTCTTGACCTCTCAAAAATCTTTACCAGTGCCCAGAAATTTCTCCATTTTTTCTCTCTCAAAACAGCCAGCATGAAGCTGGAATTACAAGGCACTTAAAACGCCAAAAATCCGCCACCCACAATTTCTCGCTTAGCCTGGAAAAAATTTCTTCTCACGGTGCCGCCATACGGACCCTCTCCGCCGGTCAGTACGTTTTGCGTACGTGCCCCCACCTCGCTCAGCGTTTACTAGTCAGGGCCCCTTTCAATCATGCCTTGATCGCGCGATTCATCACTTTGGGTTGTGCCATGCACCCACATTGCTGGCTAGAATAGTGGGGGAACTTCATACGTTAATACTACTTTCAGGGGCAGTTCGGCGACAAGGGGGAGGGGGCATTTTGCACTTTTGCTACTTTTCATAGATATGTCGACCCATCTAGAGAGCCTTTTCTTGAGTTGACACGTTTTACCATGGTGGCTAGACGAGCTTGCTCCAGCTTCACAAGAGTTCACAAGTTTCACCAGAGTGAGACTTGTAAAGCGGAAGCAGTGAAACAGTGAAAGCAAAATGCTCCCCACCCCAACCTGGTGGTCCATGGGAGAAAGACTATGATAAGTATCTCCTTTTTTAAAAGGTATAAAATAACCGTAAAATTACACTCCATGAGTAATGGTAATAATTTGCCCACTAACCGAAAAACCTCGTAATTCATGAAATGTGCGGATTATTTGCGACAGCTCGCAGTTCGCATGGCGGTTCGCCCTTATTTCTGGAACAATACAGAAGGGAGCAAACAAAACAGCGTTATATGGAAGATGTCAGAGATTCAGGAGAAAAACAACACGCTGCGGTTCTGTCCAGAACAATGCCGTTCTGCATACCAGTGAAAGGGAAGGAAACTATTCCACAGTGGATTTTCAAGCTCGTACTTCATTCTCTTCCTGATTTCCTGGGTCTTCCAGGTAATAGAGAAAATAGGGCAGGAGTCAAAGTCAAAGGAGTCGCAGGAGTCAAAATAGGGCATGTTCCCCCCCCCCCTTCCGGTTCCCTCCTCAACAAGCTGTTAAATAGCACATGTGACATGTGAAGGGAAATACGACCCCTCTCTCTACCATTTCTTAAGAGGGAAGGTCAACAGGGCAGTCCGGCCATTTCGAATGAGGTGCACACCGTTGTACGCCCTTTGGCACGGTGAACTCAAATCTACCTTTGGAATTTGCTGAACGATACTTTGAAAGAAGTTATGGAGGTTTTTCCTCTCGCTTTTCTCTCGAAAGCGCGCTGGCCCCAAGCGGCCGGGGCCTGTAGCGCGCGACATAACCACTTTCGCGCAAAACGGGTGTGATATCCGTCTTCACAAAGTCAATTAACACCCGGGACGGCACTCCAGCAAAATCTGAGATTTTACTCAACTCAAAAAATTGGCGGGTTGGGTTAGTCATGACTGAATACTTGACTTGAAAGTAAGTCTAGCCTATCACCGATGAGTGGTATTCGTGCTGAATTAACTCGTTGGCCATGCATTCTCTTGAACAACAGTATCTGGGCCACGTGTTGGCATCATCCATCATATTCCTGATAGTAAGGGGGGGGGGATTTCAGCTGAATAAGAATAGATATCTTCGATAGGTGAGTTCCAGTGTATTCACACACACTACTCTAAAGTACCCCACGTTTTTCAAGTTGGGTGACGTCGCGCATTTGCCTAGAAACGTATCTATATGGGTAATTTTACCCGCTGAACATGAAAATCCGACTAGTTGAGTACAAAAACCTTTGTGACATGTGTTACGAGAGGCACAAGCACCCTTTGAGGCCACGAGGGGTCTATACTGGTGAAAAGTTGGTCGCATGTCCTCTTTCAGGCTTGAACGGGCGAGCAGGGATGTTCGAAGCTTTGTTGACCATGTTCCTAGGAAAGGCAAAAGAGCGTGCAGACATGGTGACTGATCCTGTGACTTCACGCTTATCAAACCTGATCACTACCAGTTGCGCTCCAGTGTCGCGTTTCATGATCCTCTCCTCACTTATTTGAAGACGCTTACACAAACTCCATGAAGATTGCATCGTGAAACAACAAGGCGGGGAGGAAACCCTCCATATCGCTATCAGAGAGTCGCTCAGCAAATTTCAAAGAAAGTTTTGAGCTCAGCGTCACAAGTCGTGTACAACGGTGTACATTATATTGCAAATGGCCGGACTGTTGACCTCCCCTGGTTAGATCTTACCACATTCCTACCACTTTTTCCGGAAGTTCCCACAAAATTTTCCTATTTTTACCCAAAAATTTTGCTGTCGAGCGAAGGAGGGGGGGGGGGTATATAGTACACATCATGAAACAGGAAAAACCACGAAAGAAACTCAGGAACGTCTGTCACGACACATGCGCAGAAGGGTTCAACGATTCTCCCAACAACGACCAAATACGATCCCCCCTCTCTTTACAGCGTCCCTGAAACAAGAGAAATCAGCTATCAAAAAGATTATTCTCAGCCCAAATACGACCCTCCCTTCTCCCAGCGACCAAATACGACCCGTCCCCCTGTCAAGGGATCTCCAACAACGATGTGCCCTGGATTCGAATGCGCGATCGAAACGATTGGATCGCGAACTCTGGATGCATTTCCATGCGACTCAGAGAAAGCTCAGCGTGTTATGATAGCAGATACGAAATCAGCGTAAAAAGAGAGAGAGAGGCGACAGGCGTCTATACATTTGTTGGTAACAACCATTCGTCAAGGTAGAGCTACAGCTTAGTGTAGATTTGGGGAACCTGTGATGTTACCCTGGGCATTTTCACAGTATTCAATACGCTGATTACGAACATGAAAACTGAGATTGATATCCGCCTTTCAATAGGAAAAGAGGGGTTATTTGTGGTTATAGTTTGCAACCATACACTGCACTAGTGGCCGTAAGCAAACTTGAGCAACTTGATTTGGCCAGAAATTTGTCTGTGGCGTTTTCAGTCTCCCTCAGCCAGGGCACACCGTTGTTGAGAATTCCCAACGGGGAGGGTCATAGTTGGTCGTTAGGAAAGGGGGTCGTATTTGGGCTGGAAAAATTTTTGTTAGTTGATTTTTCTTGTTTCAGGGACGTAAAGGAGGGGGGTCGTAGTTGGGACGGTGTCGTATTCCCCTTCCCAGAGAGAATGCTGATTTTTCGTGGATTTTCCTGTTTCGTGTGTACACTACACCCCCTTCCCCCCTCTCGACAGCTCGATGAGGAGGGAACCAGGGGAGTCGTACCAACCCCTAAAAAAAAGGGGGGGGGTCGTACGGACTCGACCAGATTCTCCAACTAATGACGTGCCCTGCCCTCAGCACGAGTATATTTTATAGGGGGGTTGGTACGTCCCCTTTGGTTCCCTCTTCATCGAGCTGTTAACTGTTAAATAGTTTATGATAATCAGTGCCAAAACGTTCTGCACCGACGTTACAGGCGCAAAAAGACAATTTTTATTTGGCGACTTTGACCACCCATAACTCCCTTGGGAGACCGCACACTCCCTAATGAGGCGAGGGCAGCAATTCACTTTCCATATTTTCTGACCCCATTCCTGACTCTCCATCGCTGCGATAACCACAACGGGGAAGGTCGTATTTGACCGCGAGGTTGGGAGGGGGTCCGTATTTTGTCGTGGAGAAACATATTTTTTTTGATAGTTATTTCCTTATTCCGGGGCGGGTATAACGCGCGCTGGAGGGTCGTATCTCATTCACTACCGAGAGGAGTTTACGCGTTTGGGAGAAAGCCTTTTCCGTTGTTGACTTTTCGAGGTTTTTCTCGTTTACTGTCTGTATCTACCCTCCTAAGTTTGGTGGGCGCGCCCTCTACTATACAAGTACTATTTACGATAGTTGAAGAATAGTGTTCCTGAACAACTTCAACCCCCATCGCGCTTCCCGCAGATTTTTCAGAAATTTTATCACAACGCGATGGTCGTGCACTGCTCTAACAAGATCCAAATCCATCTTCACTCAAGCTTCACAAATAGTGAACCCCCCCCTGCTCTTCAACAAAGCGGGTCACGTGGAAGCGCA